AAGTGCAACTGAAATGTGTGGGCCTCCCCGCCTCGTCCCCATCCCACACCTCAGAAGGAGCCCACCTCCTGTCCACTGAGAAAAGTTTTTCCCTTGCCATTCTAGACATCTGGCTTTGGTATGGATGGCCCTGGGGAGAGGAGAAAAAGGAGGAAATGGGAGGGCAGTGTATACTAACCTTTTCTCTTCCTCCCATGTTTACTGGCCTAGGGTCTGGTGCTACAGAGAGAAATGGATGACCTTAAAGAGCAATACAGAATCAGGAACCAGGGACAGAGAGCAGCGGGTTCTTAGTGCAGAGCTCTTTGCTTTGGGGCTAGTGGGGTGGGTTTCAGGTTTGGGGCTAGGTGGTTCCAAACAGGGACAAGGAGACAGGCTTATATATCCCTCTGTGTGGAGCACCTTCTTATGCCTCTCCCTGTTGCAGCCGCCATGCAGCACCTGGCTGACAAGTTCCAGATCCTTTGAAGTGAGTGTTACACACAAGATACCCCTTCCCACAGTCCTGGTTGTTGAGCAGGGTTGTGGGATGGCCCTGCCTTGAGGCTGTTCCTTGAGTCTGCTCTTTTGCAGGTTGAGCCCAACATCTTTCTGCAAGAGGAGCAGCTGTGACCTCCAGGGCCGGCGAGCTGTGGACAAGCGTGTTGCCTCTTCTTCTGCCTCCACCAGGGCATCCTCTGCCCCTTGATTTGCCCCCTCTCTGCCCCAGTCTCACAGCAGTTTTTGATTAAAGGACTTCTCATATTCTGTGTTCTGCCCTCTCGCTGGGGTTAGGGGTTGGGGGAGTGGGGCAAGGCCTGGTGGGGAGCCACTCCATATCAGATCCTGTTGCAGAACAGTACCTCTGGCATCCTGTGTTGGGGACTCTGGGTCAGCCTCTGCCACCATCCAGGCCAGCAGGGCAGCAGAGTGCCACCGGTCTGGGTTCACTGAGGGCCTTGTCTGGCCACATTGGCACATCCTCCCATTCCACTAAAGGCCCTCTTCTAGTTCTCTAAACACCCTCTTCTGGGATTTGCCGGTTCTCATCCATTGATGACACTCTGCCTCCCTGGTGGAAGGAACTCATGACCCCCCCACAGAGCTCCAACCCATCCTCCTTGCCGCAATGGACTCATTGTCCTACTTACCCTGACCACTCTCTTTTCCTGTTGGAGCACCCTCAGTCCCTCCCCTGACTTGCCATTGGTGACCTTGGGTGCATGTGTAGTTCAGCAGGTGGAAACAGGCACAGGTGCCCTCATCTCCCCCTTTCCAGGCTCTGCCCTCTCATTGGAGTCCCTACTGCCCGTACCATCCCCACTCCTGCCCCAGCCCCACATTGCATGCTGGAACCTGCACACAGTCCTCCTCTCCTCTTTAGCTCTCACCTCTGAGACTCAGGCACCAATAGTTTCTCTTTTCCTTCTTTGGATTCAATAAGGGGCTTGGGCATGAAGCCTGGACCCAGTGAGCTGGGGAGCAGGAGGGAAGTTTCAGGGAGCACAGGAGACAGGCTAGTCTCTGGGCTGGAGGTCAGGAGACGCATCTGTTTGGTGCCAACCTGGGTCAAACTGCACCCTGGCAGCTAGAGATGGATGGTGGAGTCCTCAGTGTTTTCACATCCTCCCTGCCCTAGCCAGCTGACCACCCTCACCTTCAGCCTGAGCCTCTCTATACTGTTGAGTGGAAATGGGCCCATCATGCTCTATGGCAAGTGTGGTTATTACGTCTCTGTCCGAGTGAGTAAATCTGGCAGAGATCATCCACCTGAGGTCTCTGCCCACCGAGACATGTAGGGAAGTTGTGCCCAGGGAGAAGTCCAGCACCAGCATCAGCACCACCCTTGGGCAGAGAGGTGCCTGGGACTTTGGTCACCAGGGTGAGGAAATGGAGAAGCTCATGCAAGTGGAGGTGCAAGGGCGTGAACACAACCCCTCGTTCACTTTTTACCAATCTCCCTTCCCTCCTCTGAGCACACAGTTCAGACCAACTACCTCATTATAATGTTGCTGGAAACATAGACATCTCAGGCCTTGGCTCAGCCCCAAGCCTTCCAGTTCCAGTGGGAAATCTGTGGCAGGGCCTGAGGCATAGGTTAAAGAAATCCATCTGGGAACCAGGGAGTAGGAGGAATGCAGAAGCCCGGCCTCATTCAGTGCACCCCTGTTGCCTTTCCCCTTCAGCCTTGGAGAGCCCTAGGCCCCATCCTGCCTGGTTCTGCTGCCTGTCCAAATCCAGGGAAGATGCTCCCTCCCTATCACACCCACACCCCACCAGCACCAGCCCCAGGTCTACCGCTTTCTCTGGACTATTGAGGGAGACTGGCACAAACAAAGAATTTAGAGTAGGTGAGCCTTGAAGAGAGCGCTGGCTACAGTGGGCACAGTAATCATGCCCCAAAATGTCCAAGTCCTAATCCCTACAGTTGGTTTATATGTTCCTTTGCATGATAGCAGTTGGTTAAGCTTGCAGATGCAATAAAGGCTGATACTCAGCTGACTTAAGGTGGGGACACTCTCACCTCCAATGGGTAGGCCCGTTCAGGCACTTTGGGTCTGCCAGGGTTGCCCTGTGGACTGTCCGTGTGTGACCCATGGAACAGCGTTTGAATGACTACAGTGTGCTTGTTCTACCTGTGCTTGTGCAATCAATGTTGACATCCTGGTAAGTACTGCTCAGATGCAGATGCAAGACTTTTGCAAAGAAGATTTACTTTCTTTCAAAAGATTTGCCATTTCTATTTCATAAAACAACCCTTCCAAACATAGAAGAGAAAGTGAATGTAATTAAATATGAGTTAAACAGACAACACATATACACATTATAGAGAGCATTAGCCTTTAATCTGTTGAATAGGTAGATAAAAATAAACCCATTTCACTATCCTCAGGTGACATGTACATTGCACATCCAGGACTCACCTATATATCCTTCTCCCTCCAAAATTCTCATGAATAAGTCAACCTAGTGCCTATTCCATTTACTGCACATTCTTGAGGGTCCAAACTATATACAAAGAAAGCAGATGGGGTGTTGCCTGTGTCTGGCGGTTGACATAAGTTGTTAAATGACAAAAAAAAAAAAAAAAACAGAAGCAATTTTGCAGGCGATGAAAAAATTTTGTTTCGATTGTGGGGGTGGTACCATAATAGGATGTGCTTACAGCAGCTCAGAGACCTTGTAAGTAAATTGTATCTTTATTATTGAGATACTAATACCTTTTTCAACAGCACAAGAGACGGTTTTACACATGGTTATCACCAAATGGGCAATACCAAAATCAAATTGGTTACAGTCTTTGTAGCTGAAGATGGAGAGTCTGTATATAGTCAGAAAAAACAAGACCTGGAGTTGACTGTGGCTCAGATAATCAGATTCACATAGCAAAATTCAGGCTTAACCTAAAAATGTGGTGAAAACTTCTAGACCAGTCAGGTACAACATATGTCATGTCCACTATGATAATGCAGCAGAGGCAACAACTAGATTCAAGGGATTAGAACTTGTAAACAGTGTGTCTGAAGAAGGATGGACTGAGGACTGTAATACTGTACAGGAGGCTGTGAACAAAACCATCCAAATGAAAAAGAAAAGCAAGAAGGNAATGATGGACTGAGGTCTGTAATACTGTACAGGAGGCTGTGAACAAAGCCATCAAAATGAAAAAGAAAAGGAAGAAGGCAAAGTGGTAGGAGGCCTTACAAATAGCTGAAGAAAGAAGAGAAGCAAAGATCAAGGGAGAAAGGGACAGGTATCAAACTAAATGCATATTTGACCAACCTACCGATAACATCATACTCAATGGTAAAAAGAAAAAAGCACTTCTTCTAAGATCAGGAAGAAGAGAAGCATGGCCACTCTCACCACTTTTATTCAATATAGTTACAGAAGATATAACCACAGCAATCAGAGAAAAAGAAATAAAAGAATCCAAGTTAGAAAGGAAATAAAGCTGTCACTGCTCGCAGTTTGCATGATACTGTGCATAGAGAATTCTAAAGATGCTGCCAGAAAACTACTAGAGCTCATCGATGAATTCAGTAAAACTGCAGGATACAAAATGAATGCACAGAAATCTCTTGCATTTTTACATGCTAACAATGAAATTTCAGAAAGAGAAATTAAATAAACAATCCCCTTTACCATCACATCAAAAAGAAGAAAATGCCAAGGAATAAACCTAAGGAGACCAAAGAGCTGTACTCACAAATCTATAAGATGCATGCACCCCAATGTTGATTGCAGCACTAATTACAACTGCCAAGGCACAGTAGCTACCTAGATATCCATCGACAGAAGAATGGATAAAGAATATGTGGTACACATATACAGCAGAATAGTACTTAACCATAAAAAGAATGAAATAATGCCACTTGGGGCAACATGGATGGACGTAGTGATTGCCATACTGAGTGAAGAAAGTCAGAAAGAGAAAGACTAATGTCCCTTACATGTGGAACCTAAAAAATTGTACAAGTGAACTTATTAACAAAATGGAAACAGACTTTGAAAACTCATGAATACCAAAAGGGAGAGGCAGAGGTAGGGAAGGGATAAAGATCCTAATCTATAACATCCTAATGAGAGATACTGACAATGATGTAAACAGATGGAAAGAAACATCATGTTCTTGTGAGGCCAAGCATTTACANAAAAAATCTCAGAAATGGTATTATTGAGAAAGTTTATCAAAATAGGCCTCCTTTCTAGGAAAAATGGGCTTGGTTGGTTCGATTGCTACAGAAGTCCACAGTTTTCAGACCTAGACCTACAGCAAAAAAAAAAAGTTGACTTTTCTTTTTAAGGAAAAGAATAGTTACAGCTGCTCTCAGCTGGGTTCTCAGCAAGAACAGGGAAGGTGGTGACCTTTTTTGCTTTTTTGCTGTGATTTCACCAAGGTTCCTAAAAGTGCTTTCCCTGGGCTTCAAGTCGGTTTGGTACGGAAGGAAAAGCACTTTTCAACACCCTCGGAAGAACACGAGGGCAGGAGTGTCTGGGGCGGGCTAGGGGCCCAAGCATCAGTCAATGAAACGCTGGCAGGCCTTCTTCCAGCGGCAGGCTGTGCACCACATACCCGGTTCTCCATACCATACACCTTCCGGCACTTCCTGCCCTCTCCCCTGGGCTTCCTCAGGCTGACCGTCCCTCTCGGTGGGGAGGACAGGATGGTGTGAGTGTGCGGTCTCTGCTCTCCTGTGCCCGCCGGGTGACTGTGGGTTGGTGACACTGGAATGCCTGTGAAGGTAACTGGAGGAGACTGCCAAGAAATGCTGAAGCTGCTGCCATTGGGGGTGAACTTGGCTGCTCCTGGAATGGTCACGGGGGGCGTGGCCTGGTAAGCGTGGTCAGTGTGCACGAGGTAGAGGGTGGTGGGAGCAGAGCGGCTCAAGGGCGTCATCAGTTTTGCCTCAGTTTTGGCACAAGGAGTTTCTGTTCGGCTGGAATCTGGGATGGGAAAAGTAGGAGGCGAAGCCAGGGATTGGGAAGGCGAAACTGGGGCCAGGCTGCTCAGACCGTCTGCCACGGAGTCTGTGTTGAGCTTGATCTCAGTGTAATAAAAGTCTTCTTCTCCATCACTGTAGTCAGACTCCCCAACACGCCCGAGATGAATGGTCCGGATGTGCTTCTGGATACCCACTGCAGTGCTCAGAACCTTCCCACAGTTCTTCCAGAGGCATTTGAACATCACCTTCATGGAGTTCTTTCGTTTCCTGGGGATGGGCTCATCAAAGAGCAGGTTGCCGGCCTCCGCTTCGTCGATGCCGTCGTCGGGGGGCGCGGGGCTGCGGAAGGGCTTGAAGCTGTCAGCGGACAGCGGCGGCGACGGCGTGGACGGGTTGGACTGGTCGCTGGGGGCGCTCCAGCTCCAGTAGCCGCTGCTGCTCTTGCTGGAAGGCACGCCGCCCGCCTCCTTCCAGGATCCGCTCAGGCCCTCGTTCTGCAGCACGGGAGGGCTCCGAACCAACGGGCTGGTGGACAAGCTGGTTAGGACCATGGCTGCCGTCACCTTATCCATGTCCAGCTCCTCCAAAGACTTCCGTCTAGTTTTCACACCATGAGCAGCTTCCCTTCACGTTAGAGCAGGGTTGATTTGTATGACCAGATAGGTATGACAGAGTATCACAGGGTCTACAGAAGTGGTGGTGTGAGACTTCTGAGGCTAGGTCATCAAAAGCATTGCACCTTCAGCCTTGTGCTCTTGGATTTCCAGCCCTTGCTGGAGGAACATCAATACTGGAAGAAATAACTTTTCGTTTTTGCTCAAGGAGACAGATGGAGCGAGTGTTTTCTTTTTCATGGTCAAGTGCTCGGTTGGCTTTTTTGGTGTCTGCTGTTTTCGCATCTTCCTCCATGGCCAAGGGAAACAAGTGTTGATGGGACATTTTTTTACTAGAGTCACGTTTTAAGTCCTCTGTTTGAAACGTGAAGGTCATTTCCCGCTTAATGCTCCCCACCTGTGAAACAAAACACAAAAATTCNCATGTTTTCCTAGGTTTTCAAACGGATTGGAATGAAGTAGCCCATGATGTCCTCTTTGCCCCCAAATTCTACTTTTGGAAATATCTCTCTTACAGGTAGTTGTTGTTGTTTTTCAGGCACTAAGTCGTGTCCAACTATTTGTGACCCCATGGAAAAGACCCTGATGCTGGGAAAGATTGTAGGCAGGGAGAGAAGGGGACGACAGAGGATGAGGTGTTTCGATGGCATCACTGACTCAATGGACATGAGTTTGAGCAACCTCTGGGAGATGGTGAAGGACAGGGAAGCCTGGCATGCTGCAGTCCATGGGTGGCAGAGTGGGACAAGACTGAGCTACTAAACAACAATAAATTCTATTGCATATAATCCTGCAAGCCTAAAACATACTTGTCTCCCCACTATGAATCAATATCAAATGAATAAGCATAGCCTTCTGCTGACGTAGCTAGGGCTAGCTCCTACATTGCTGGCTATGGGGTCCTAGGTGTCCCAAAGTTCGTCTTGTCCTGCTGGTGAGTGTGGCTGTTTCTGGGGGCAGCTGGCTGAGAGGCCAAGGTGTCTTGAGGCTGGTTTGTCCTGCCGTTGACTGGGTTGGGGTCCAGGGTGTCCTGGGGCTAGTCCCAGCTCACTGGTGGGTGGAGCTCTGTTTCTGTTCCTGGGTCTCTAGCTGCAGGGCCCTGGGGGCCCCAGAGCTGGTCTCAGTTCACTGTTGGGTGGGGCCAGTTCCCGACATGGCTGGCTGTGGGATCCTAGATGTCCCAAAGGGGGCTTCCACAGGCTGCAGTGTGGGGACGGATTCCAGAGCTGCTGGCTGAGAGCTCCAAAGTGTCCCAGACCTGGTGTCGACTTGCTGGTACACTGTGCTGGGACTCAGTGGCTCTTGGGGCTGGTGTGGGCCTGCTGGTGGATGACATATTTCCTGGTAGGGCAGGCTGCAGGGCTGGAGTTACTCTGGTTGCTGTTGTTCTGCCTGCTGGTGTGTGGAGCTGGTTCCTGGGTTCTCTGGCTTCAGGGCTCTGAAGGAGTCCAGGAGTTGGTGCTTTGGGCCATTGGTGGCTGGGGCTGGGTCCAGGGCATACTAGGGCTGGGGCCTAACCACTGATGGGTATAACTGGTCCTGGGGCTAGTGATGACCTGCTGTGGGCAGGAACTAGGTCCCAGGGTCTCTGACTGCAGGACCCTGGAGTCCTGGCTTAATGCCTTGTTCCTGGTGTATAGGGCCAGTGTGGTGTGTTGGGGCCTCTGAATGACAGGTCCAGCTCCAGGGAGTCTTAAGACAGCAGGCTTGCTTGTGGGTGGGACTGCGTCTCTGCCTGGCTAGTAGCTTGTCTTGCCTCAGTATTATTGTCTGCAGGCTGATGGGTAGGTCTGGGCACTGGTGCCAGTAAGCTAGAGGGAGGATTCCAAAACGGCAGTGGCTAGTGCCAGTGTCCACGTGGTAGAAGGAGCTCCGCAAAATGGCTGCTTCCAGTGTCGATGCCCCCAGGGTGAGTCCAGCTGCCTCTTGCCTCTCTGGCAGGCTCTCCAAGACCAGCAGTTGCCTCTGACCCAGGCTCCTTTCAATTTATTGCTTCAGCCCTGGGTCCCGGAGCATGTGAGATTTTGTATGCCCCCTTTAAGAGTGGAGTCTATTACCCATGGCTCTCTGGCTCTCCCAAAATTAAGCCCTGCCGGCTTCAAATCCAAAAGTTCTGGGAGATCCTCTTCATGAGAATAAATACAATTTCATCAGGAAAAATATACAAAGCACTACTACACAGAATAGGCATGAATCTCACAAATTTAACATTGATTGAAAAACCAAGAAGGAACACATATATATTTAACACTTCCATTCATATAACTGTAAGTAGCTGTCAGCACTAACTCATAACATTATACACACACACACACACACATATATACATATATACACATATATAGTATGAGATCTTTGAGGAAAAGGGAACAAAGGATGGCACATAAGTAAGAGTGTGGCTATTCTCTTTGAAGAAGGAACGGGGCTAAGATCAGACAGGGAAACTGTAGGAGTGTTGGGGGTAGCCGACACTATCCCCTTCTGTGACTTGGGGGTATACATTTCATAATCAATTATTAAACTCCACGTATATATTGTGACTTTTTCTCTATCTATCTTACGTTTCAGTATAATTGAAGAAAAATACAATGCTTAGGGAAATAACATCCCAGTGTAAGCATACTGTAACTATGTTCTAAGCAGAAGTAGAACCAAAGTTACTTTCTTTGTTTATAGCATCTCTAACTGAGCTCAGTAATCTTATTTAATCTACATTAATAGCTATAATTTTGAGAACTCATACCTTGTTAATAATAATGTGATGCTTACATAATTATAATATCAATCTCACTTTTTAATAAATAGTCCATATTTGGGTAGTACATTATCATTCAGAATTTAATTGTGAACTTGTGCTGAAACTCACAGAAGTGATGTATTTGGATACAAATTCTCAGAGACTTCTCCCCTCCCCATCCACTTCCTCTCAGAGTTGGAGCAAAAAGAACCTGAGAAAAAGAAATGGAGAGGGAGGTGGGAGGGGGGATCGGGATGGGGAATACATGTATATCCATGGCTGATTCATGTCAATGTATGACAAAAACCACTACAATACTGTAAAGTAATTAGCCTCCAACTAATAAAAAAAAATAAAAATAAAAAAATAAAGAAATGAAGGCAAAAAACCCAGAGCGATGTGTCTGCACTGTAATACACCGATTTGACCAGCCGAGGGCAGTATCGTTTAAGGCTGTTTGTCGGGAAGGGCCAGATGCCATGCCTTTGGAGTTCCTCCTGATCTTTGTGACTAGTCTATTAACCCCTGAGACTGAAGAGCTTATCTGCACCAATATGGTGGTGACGGTGCTGGTTCTGGTGGTTGGATGGGCTGCATCTCCCTTGCCCGTTTGGCACTTCTATCTTAACACCAGCCTTCACCCCTGCTCCCCGCAGCAGCAGCTCTTTTCTTCCTCTTTCTCCTCAGACAGAAACTGAGACCTTTGATGTGCTAGACTGGGTGAGCTCCCACCTTCCACTGGCACAGAAGCAGTAGGTGGGTGTGCACAACCCTTCAAGCCCTTCCTTAGT